TCTTTTCTCTCTCTCTCTCTCTCTCCTCTCTTCTCCTCTTCTCTCTCTCTCTCTCTCTCTCTCTCTCTTTTTCTCTTCCTTTCGCCGCTGGCTATCTCTTCTACCGTCTTTTTTCCCCCTATCTATCCCCCTACCTGTATGTCTCCGTCTCTCTCCTTTCTCCCCCTACTGTCTCTCTCTTTCTCTATCTCTCTCGCTCTATCCGTCTATCCTCTTCGACATCACCTCACGCAGCAGTGCCGTGTTGTAGTGTCGTGTCATCCCGCGGTACGTCAACGATCCTCCCGGACTGAAGGCAAGGATCGACCGGGTCGAGAGTACACTCTGCGATTACCGGGGCCGGTCGATCGCCGGTCTACAGTAGGGTGAAGAAAGTGAACCCGCGGTCACCGTGAAGGTGAAGGGAGTGATATTCCCGATGGAACGCGCGTTCTCCTGACACCGATAGACGGAAGTTCGCGGCGAATGAGTGAAATATTTGGATGCGAGAAATCTGGTGAATCTGTTTTCGATTCGTACAGTAAGAAGCCGAGGTCGCACATTGGTGAAATTTGCCGCGGTGATTGACATGTCTGTCGTGATTGAGCCTGTGCGTTGAGAATGATTTGGTAGACTTGAGGATCATCATCCGGTGTCGTACCATACCGACGATTTTTCGCATCTGCATGAATAGCCTAATGATTGCGCTTGGAGTGAAAAGGGTAAGAGAAAGAGTCGTCTGGTGACAGTTGGAGGCTCGATTGTGATCCGAGGTGGTCCGCGCGATCCCGAAGACAGCTATTATCGAACGAGTGGCAAGGTGCGCTGAGGAAGGGGACATTCGGTGAAGGTGTCAAACGTCGGCGGCACCTCATTGACATTTCCGTGACATTTAGTGCGCGATTCGAGTCGAGTGCCAGACACCTTTTCGTGTAACACGCGTGTCCCTCACTGTTACACGACAGCGAGACCTCGCGACTAGCTCGCGCGGGTAGCGTGTCGTGGAAAAGCGAACGCGACGAGCGGGAGAGGACCATACGCAGTGCGGTGGAAAGGAAGTGTAACGAGGGCCAGGCGGAGTCGATGACGCGTTCTGCGTGCCTTATCAGCGGCGGAACCGGAGCGCGGTGACGGCGAAGACTCGTCCAGAGACTTATCTGTCTCTCGGAATCCTTCAGTTGCACGTGTACGGCGTAGAATACAAGTAACACGGCCTGCGCTCTCCGCGGAGGTCTGTCTCCAAACCCTGGTCGAGTGAGCAACGGGATCCACGACGGTCTACCTGAAACGTAGAGCTCCCGTTGTGGAGCAACAGGTGGTTATATCTGACGATCGTCGAACGAGGTTCCCCCCCGCGACTCTCGACGGGCAGAGCCGGAGATTTTTCACTCGGTTGGAGGTTGACGCTGGTAGCCAAACTGGACATTCTTACCGCCACGTCGGGAAGAACGGAGTGGAGATGTCCGCGGGTCGCTGAGAGAATGAGGGAGCTGGACACCGAGAGCCCTGTCGTCTGGCCGGCCTGGTGTTATACTGGTGAGTCGGATTCCACTCCACTGACGATATGGAAAAAAAAAGTGATTAAATAAACCAACGACGACCATTTCTTAATGAAAATACGCTCCGTGAAAAAAATTCATAAATTATTCTATTGGCTGTCCGATCTACTTAATTAGGTTTCTCTTTAACTTTGTTATTTGACCATGAACGCCTGCGGTTAATTTCAATCTATCATCATTAGTTTTTCGTCGTCGATCACTCCTGTCTAACATTCATCAGTCGAAACTTTAATGAATTTTTAATGACTGTTTACAAGTAAGGGGATCGTGGCGATACAATTAGTTTTGACCGAGCTGTTTCCGTAGCGAGTCAGCTGACGTTTATATTCATTATTGTTGAACCATTTTTTTTAACTATCATTTCAAAGAATTTGCTGCGTTCTGAGACGCGATACGCTCGAGATTGCGAACGTGATGCGTTTTGTACAAACGTAGTCGATTGCTTACACCGGTAGCTAGTCGGCGAGTCATAGTGTAACAGGAACGCAAATTGCCGTAGTAGTTTGAGGAAAGTTATGAAACACGCGGCCACGGGTAGGCGTCACGCGGCAGCTTTGGAATTCGTACTCCATTACTTCATCGATATCTCAAATGACAGACGAAAAACAAATACCAATTTGGATAAGAAAGCGAGCGCGTGTCACGCTAATCTACTAAATTATATGGCAAGGCTATTCCTAATAATCTAATCGCAACTTATGATGAGACAATTAATTTAATAAACGCGTTGCGCGAACTCGATATCTCTAATTTACATAGTAAAAATATAATTAAGTTTTATCTTGATTAACTTGTGTCTATATCGCTATCACATTTTTAAAAGAAAAAAAAGTGTGGAAGAAAGTACGATAGCAACACGAATATTCGAAGAAACCGACTGATACTCGGTTAAAAATAGGGCAATGAAATGTTTCGCAATGCTCGTATGTCATATTTGCCGAGGTAAATTCTCGGAAGTTGCCCGCCGTGCGATATCTCTTTAATGTGTCAATAAACTCATTTCGAATACTACGTAATATGACTCTGCCACTGCCGAGTCATAATTTCAGTGCTGTGAGGTTTAAATACCTTGGTTTTAAAACATTGATAGAGTTGTAGAATATCGGTTGCATACAAAATTAAGATAACCGCATATCGCTCTCTTATTAATTTTTATGTATTTTCTTAGAACTTTGTATATTGAGGTATTTATTGGCATTATTCATTTTGAAAATCGGGCATTTGCAACTTTGTGCTTCGAATGTTGTCTTATCAGCTGAAAACTTTATTTTAACCTCGTTTTCGGAGCCTTTGACATGCTACGATTAAACCACAAACGATAGTATCTATCTTGCTAGCTTGGTCCCTAATGGATTCTTCGCGTATTTATAATATAGCAAGGAGAAACATGCGAGAGGGGTCATAGGTTCCATCGCGGAAAGTGGTTTTTTATCGCTTCTTATCAAGCCAGACTTCTTAATTTCCGAACTACGGTTGCCTACCTGCGTCCGACGCCGCTCCTCGGCGTCGTTCTGCCACGCAGAGAAAGAGAATTCGTCCAGTTCCGTTAACGGGGAGACGAGCTACGAGACACGAGAACGAATCGCGGAGGGTGTAATTATGGTGCTCGATCTTGACAATTAGGAACCCTTGGGAGCTGTCGGTAGCGGAATAGGGGCCACTTAGCTCCTGCAACTTCCAGCAGCTTTATCTCGCCCAATCGCCCCGCGTTATTCGTCGGTGTCTTCTAATTAAGGGGTAACCCGCGGATTTTTTTCCTATCCGAGCTGGCGAAAATGTCGCAGCTAATTGTCAAGCGATCGACTTTTGAATCTCAATCCTCGGCTATTCTTGCACCTCCATTTCCTACCTAACTAACATTGAGAACATCGATGCATTATTCGATACCATTCGGAAAATCTAGCAAGAACCATCGAGCGCAATTAACTCCCGCACAGCTTGACTCGCGTTCTTGAAAACACGCGACCCATCGCGAATCATTCGGTTAAAACGCTATTTTCGCCAGTCAGGATATTAATACGCTTTTTTTGGCGCCGCGCATTATCTTGGAGCTACGCGCGTTTGTTAAGGCCTGTGGCCACTATGCTAGAACTTTAGTCGGTTGTTCGGCTCTCAGTTCGGAGTAGCGTAGCAAAGTCGGCATGATCTGGCGACAGAGCCGATCCCGCGAAACAGATTTGTTACGGTATAAGTCGTGGTAATGGCGAAAGACGCTTCGCGGACGTGCCACTCCGGTCGCGACCGCTAATGTGATTACCGTTCTTTCGTAGTCACCAGGAAGTTGACATTGTTTCGCGTCGCCAAAACGAATCATCTAGCGTCGCCGCAGAAATCCATTTTCGGAATCTACGATTAGCGAGAACCGTAATTATTATTCCGGAAAAGTATTCTTAAGTACTTAGTCTTTAGTACTCGGAATTAGCATCCCCGCACAGTGGAACTGGAGAAGTTTTGAATATGTTTTTATAATATTAATCAACAATCAATAATCTATTTGTTTTCTACTTACAATTAAATTATTTTAATTATTAATCTACGTGACAATATTCACGCGTACGGCAGTACATTTTTATTTCTCGCTTCTGTGTATTTCTTTTTAATTAGAAATTATATTTGTTACGTGTACATATATATAAAATTGTGTTGAAGCCTTATCTCGAATTACAAAATGCAAAAAAAGTGCTATCAGCGATCTAACTATCTATTGATAAGACGATAATCGTCGAATCGCGAATCGCGGAATGGTGGAATCGTGGACGATAGTGTAAATCCACCGCGGTTTCTTCTTTATGAATTTTCTCAGTGATTACCCAAGACACTCGTGGCCTCTGTGGAAGCATTTGCTTAGTTTGTCGAAACCGCGATGTATAGAAGCCGCGTGGAGAAAGTTATAAATCATGACAACAATTATTGATGCCGTGCACTCTCGCGACTCTTCAATTATAACGATATTATCATCATTAAGTTAAGTAATTGTATCCTTGCTATCATCGCTTATATTTCGATTACCTCAAGCTAACAATCAACGTCATTATCTTCTAACGAGTATAATTAGCTCTTTTCGTTCCTCTCTCCTGGACATATCGTTCTTGATTCTGTCCGATAGACCTCTTTAGATCCGAGAGAATCTATGAAAAGTGTGTTCGACAGGACGGAGGGAATGCAATGTTCCCTACACTGAAAAAATTTCTGGTTGAATATGGACGAATCAGATAATTCCTTTAGGATTTACCAGAATTCCTTTAGGATTTACCAAAATTCCTGTAATCCTACAGAAATTCTGGTAAATCCTAAAGGAATTCTGGTAAATCCTAAAGGAATTATCTGATTCGTCCATATTCAACCAGAAATTTTTTTCAGTGTAGGAATCTGGAACGTCTGGCCGTCGCGCCGTCGACGCGTGGCCTCGTCACTTTCGTGTCGTCGTCTTGGTCTTTCCAGTAATCGCGGCTCTCGCCACTCGTCTCCGGTTATCTTGTCGAAGGTACCATGTAAAGTCTTCCCTATCGGTGCGTCGAATAGTCGAAGGGAGATGACGTGCTCGCACAGTGTCTCTTTAAGTCTCCTCGACCTTTACCTTCCGTCGAGGAACATGCGACTTACCAGCCCTTCGGTAGCCCTTTCGGCACGTTCTGGTCGTCGTCGTTGTCGTCGTACGAATTGTCATTGTCAGAGTTAAATATTGGCTGTCGCTCAAAATACAAACGCGATTACGCGCGCGCCGGTGACTGGTATACCCGCGTGTTGCTGCCATCGGCAGCAACTTATTTATGGACCACAAAGCATCGGCCTCTGTCTCCGATTGTCGTTTCCTTAGGATCCTCTTTCCTCTGCCGACCCGTCAGGACCCGCTCCCGGTAGATCCTAGGCTTGCGCGTGGTTACCAGCTCTTTTTAGTTTTCATTGTTTCCGACAGCTAATATAGCCTGTCACTCTAAAGAGAATGAGCTGCCTGTCTCTGGTGCATTAAATGAGCCGCGTATTTGATTTTGGTACAGTTAGAGTGAAACAACATAGAAGTGAATGTAATATAATTCTAATAATTAAATATAACGTGATTAATAATTGTATGCATACATGTTATGCATGGAAAGGGCGAAGTGTGATAATCAAAAAAGATATAATTATCTTTCAGTTTTATCATGATAACTTCCTTTTTTTTTAATCGCCAAAGATTGTTGCAGACATCTATGAACAGGTATTAAACATAGAAATACCTAAGCCGATACATCTGCATACCCCAAACATTATCGAAACTACTGCTTGGCACTGTCGTTACATTGTGACACTAGAACGAGATTGAATGATATATTTTCCATTTCAAAACTAGCGTATTCCTAAGATTATGGGACGAGAATGTCGGAAACGCCGCGGAGAAAACGGCAGCAAGGAATTCGTTAAAATCATCCCTCTTTTCAAGAGACTAATAGACTCGCCATTATGACGGAAGTGGGAACCGCCTTAAAATTGCACCGCGAGGGTTTCTAATCGCGTTTCCTCGAGACAAAGGGCATCAGCCGTGGAAGAGGATATACCTAGAGAGAGAGACGAGGAAGTGGTGAAAGGGAGAGATGAGGACGAGGAAGAAGGTGAAACAAAGAGAAAGGCATAGAAAGGGCGAGGCGGGTGAGGGGAAACGTGAAAAAGTGGCAGACCGCGTTGAGCTCGTTCGAGGTGGGAACAAAAGCCACCTCTTCTTCTTGCTCGTCTTCTTCTTGCTTTTCTTCCACCGCCTCGTCCACAAAGCTCTCCTCGAGAGAATGAGCGAGAGAGAGAGAGAAAGAGAGAGAGAGAGGGGGGGGAGGAGGTTCCGCGCTACGTAGAGGGATCGCTCCGGGATAAACCATTGTGACTTCTTGCACGTATGAAAAACCACAAACCACTGACGTTATTTCGCGGCCGCGAACACGAAGGGCCTCTCTTCCCTTCTTCGGCCACGAAGTCCGAACCGCGTAGATAATACCCGGCAACCCTGGG